TGAAATCTAAAATCAATTTTAAATATATAAAGTATTTTTACAAAAAAATTTTGTTATACAAAGACGATTTAAAAATATATTAATTAATTATCAAATGTATACATAATACATATATTATATGTGTGTAAAAGTAAATAAAACATATTTACGACTTAATAACAATCAAATAAAATTACACAGCAATAAAGAGAGGCACAGAGAAATTATACTACAATGTAACACTTAATTATTTCAGTAATTTATTGATATAATTTTTCCTTAATTCTTAATATAAGTGTATTTTAAGACGTTATCCATTTATAACATAGTTGTATCAGTATTAGCATCTCTTTCGCAGAATTAAGCAAAATGATAATGAAAACTCGTTGCCGTCAAAAATATTTAAAATATAACTTAATACTGACCTAGTTTACAAATTTTGTATGATCCTACAATTTAAATAATAAATAAAAAAAAAAGATAACATTTTTTTTTATTTTTACTATACAAGTGCGAATAAAATGTATTACTGGTTTAAACAATTCTCATTTTATCAATTTCCTTTTTATTAAATTCAGGATTATGTTATAACGCTTATTACAATACTACATAATAAAAATTATTAAAAATAAACAAACTCGTTTGTTATAATTGCAAGTACAAATACTGTTCTTCTGCAATCGTTATGACACAATATATTTTTGTAATTAAGATCTAGTGTATTCGATTATAGCTTTTTAACTCTTTGAGAAATGACATTGTATATTTCATTATTTTTATAAAATACTATTCAAAAAATAAATTTTAATTAGCATTTTACTATACACTTCAATGCAAAATACACATATTATAAATGTCTGTTTATATGTACGTTATATATAACGTTGTTTAATGACAAATGTTATAAAAAATTGACCAGAAAATAAGATCTAATAATCAGCATCCAATAGTTATGCATGCTTAGGACTTCTTTCAGAAAAATATTGTGCATTAAATATAAAAAGAACTTAGCCCACCCTACGACAACGGGCAAAAAACCGGTTTTCTATTATACAATATAGACTGCCAACTATAACAAACATACATCTATACGTAGTCAATAGAAACGCCGAAAAGCGGCAGGCGATATTTCTTAGGTATTTGAAGGTTTTTTTCTATACTGTACATACACGAATACTAAAGGCTATTATTTCCTCGACAAATAAATCACAAGGGATCATATGGAGCGTGGTAAATTTTTTGAGATAATACTGAATAAAACAGCAACGAGCCAATATTTTGGCGAAAGAAATAGCAGTGACTTGATCATTCAAAAATACTGAACAATCGAATCTTAAAACAATGTACTTAAAAAAATATTTATACTTGCGGACATAGGTACCGTCATCAAAATATTCATCATAATTTCTTATAACACATTCTACGTAAACATTATTTAATTAAGTTTTTCTCCAATTAGTATGAACGATTAGGGGTAAATAAATAAAATACATCATTAAGATTTGGGTACTTGATATTTTGATGTCATTCTGCTACCAGCCATCAAAATATTATTAATATATAATAAAATTATTTAGTAACACTTGACTAATTTTAAACTTATAATGATGATGTTGATACGTGAATATTTTAGCGATTTAACAATAAAGTATTAATAGATAACTATAAGAAACAAGCGATAATATAAAACATTAATTGAGATTTGTTAAGGTTTTGAATTGCTCTAATTTATTCATTTATGACGTCAGTACGACCAGATGAATGAAAAACGATTTTTGGGGGGTGATTGAGAGGTTTCGTTACAATATTAAATGTTCGGGCCTGTTGTTAATCCATAAATTGCATAATAAAATAAAACAGCGGTACAAAATACTTGTACCATTTGATTTACATACAAAATGCATGCAGGTAATATTTAAAAAAGCAATTAAAAAAATAAATATTGAAGAAATCATTACACAGTAACAATTTTTAATATATGAAATAATTTTAAAAACTATAGTATAAAAATTACTTTAAAAAGCATTCATCCAACAATAAGCTTCTCAGAGATCATCCAAAATATCAAAACATACATTTATGTGACTAGAAATGCATTGGCGAACACGTACAAAAAGTTTTACTATGAATTTGTAATACACCTCATTTATTGGCTTGCATTGGGTTAATTTTGATAAAACTAAATGAAAAATACTGCGTCATACAGTTATATGGCTTTGAAAGAAAGTCAATGACATAATTTAAAAGGCAACTAATGTAAAACGAGAAATTTGCCTATCATCAGAAGGCGTAAATAAATAAAACATAAATGCGAAGAGGCGCCATTCAAATTTGACTAACTCGGCCTACAACGGAAATGTAGAACTCAGTTTTCTTTTAAATTAAAAATAAAACTTTTAAATATAATAATATTAAATATGTTCAAAATATTGTTCTAATGAAATGTCGAGTCGTTTCGTTCTTACTCATTACAACTAAGAGGGCCGTCTGCCAGATTTTTTTATGGACTTGGGATTACTGTCGTATTTAAAACATCATACAAGTTTTACATAGTGCTCTAGCACACCTAATTATTAAGAATATATAATCTTACACAGTAATAAAGTTGCAGCCGCCAGCCGGCGATTTAACCATTAAACATATGATATGGCAGTACACTACTAGTCTGTGTGTATACTATTGTGTATGTACCACTCTGTCATGTGGTCACCACAATCATGAAAAACAAACATTGCACATATGGATATACTAGCTCGTATATGTTGACACACAAAACGCACACACAGACACAGACAACTCATTACTCACAAACATTTTTACTTAGTATTTACGTCATATAATTCACCTATCTGACATAAACAGAGTGAATCACTAGAAGTTATGTATATGTTTTTAATTTTCATAAAAAATTCTTTTAATGGTTATAGTAAAAATTATTTCCCGGATGGTGGTATATTCATAATTTTATTTTAAACAAAAAATAATCATATTATAAATTATTTCAATAAAGCATAGTTTTTATTATTAGTCTGTAATGAGAAAAATAATTTATTTTAAATTTTTTTTGCCATATTAAAAAAAATATACTACTTTTAAAGTAGTCTACTAATGCAGAAATTATTATAAAAAAACTTACAGTGGAATGATTATTTGATCAAGAGTTATTAAATTTGTCATAATATGACTAATATGACGTTTCTTATGGCAAATTGTCAAAACATCGGAACACCACCATATATGTATAATATTTATATAAATTGATATATTTGGTACTTGTAAAATCATAAAAAATAGTTTGAGTTTACTTTAGTGATATTTTCTCAAACAAAATACAACTGAACTAATTCAAAAACGTAGGTTACAGAAGTAATTAATGGACGGATAAAAGCTAATTAGATATAAAAATATGATGATAATCTGATTGATTTTAAAATGAAATGAGGTCTATAAACATTATATCGTACAGTTAAAAACTGAAGAAGCAACTTTGTACCTAAATTCTGCTGACTAAACATAATTTTATAATAATGAATATTACATTACAATGAACGTTAAGAATTAAATTTAAAATAATTGTTATTTCAGCTTTATATATTGTTATCAATTTTTGTTCTGATGATAATTTAGTATTTTTGCATCATTTAACCAATTAATTTTACGTGAATAACTCAGCATATATAATATCATCAAAACTTAATTTACACTAAGAAATAACACGATAAACTATGTTATTCAACTACTAAAAATTAATAACTAATAATTATTAAAAACGCAGTGTTTTATATACATAATGGAATGGTAAATACCTGTGAATTCCTAAAAATAAAACTGAACCCGGAAATTTTTTTTATACAATAAAAATAAAGTTTGTTGTTAAAGCATAAACCAAAAATAATATCAAATTTAAATTATAACTTGCGCTTTATTGATAAATATAACAGAAATATAAGTATTGATGTGAATAGATCGTAAAAATAAAAACTAAATTCAATTTGGATAAATAGGCCATAGCTTCTTTTCAATATTATACAGTTTAAAGTGACGAGGAAAATACAGGGAATCATCCCTTAACTCTCCCCATGTTTCATAAGCGTTCACCCTAACATTCCTCCAAAAATTATTTATTATATAACTACACAGAGAGTTAAAAGTAATGTGAAAATCACAACCCCCTACTTATTTGAATACTTAAAAAAGTTCCTAATAATAAACATTATATAGTATTAAATATTTGCATAATTTAAACCTTATAGTATACAAAATCTAAATAGTACAAAGACTATTTAATACTAACAAAAAATTATATTTTATTTTTAAATGTACATTTTTTTTAAATTGAAATAGTTTTAAATTGGCATAATCTTAAATAATTTTTAATTAATGTTAGATAATGTAATTTACTCTAGAAGAATTGTGTAAATGGAATTTGTTAAACGTAAAGCATAATTTATAACTTCATTTTTAAAATACAATTAATATAGAAAAATTAGCGTCAAAAGAAATAAATTACATTCTTCTTTACCTAGTCACAGATAGATGACTTTAGACAGATGTCTCAAACATAATATTCTTAAACACTAATACATAGATTAATTCATATTATATATTATATAATATTTAAAATAATACTGTAAATTTATCATATCATTAAATATTTTTTAATTTTGTTAAATTACAAAGTTCTTTTTTTTTAATTTTATCAATTAAAAGATAAATTTATTTGAAATTTATGGTCACTATTATAGGAGAAATTCAATTTTTGTATAAAATGTATAAAATTAATTCCAATAAAATATATAATATAAGATGTGTTAAATATCGATCGACATTTTCATAGGCGTCCAACAAAAAAGTTGAACAAACATTTTAAATGCGCCACAAAACTAATAAATGATAACAAACAGAAGTAGGTTATTCAAAACCATATAAAATGTTAAATTTACAGCAAAATAGGTTCTCTCAAACGTACGAGACATTTTTCATTAACTAGTACGAGAAAAGTAAATTCCAACTGCACTTACTTGTATAGAATCAGCTGACACCACTTCACCATCAAGCTCTTTGGCAAGTTTTACTCCTAATTTTGTTTTCCCAGTACCGGTACATCCAATCACGACGAACAACGTCTGATTTTTAAAAAACGTATCCATCTTTTGGTCGTAAATACCGAAATGGCGACAGTGTCCATTCACGGTTTTCACTACAACGTAATTGCGTTTCGAAAATTCGAAAAGTCTTTTCCAAAACATAACATAACCTCAAAAATATAGCTGTAAAAACAATAGTGTGCGAGTTTACGGTTATCATAACCTGACTGATACCACATCTACCAAAATACGACACGGTTGCTGGTACCACGATTCATGGCGGAGGGTTCAATCAATATTTGTTTCGTTGTGTTGGCAGCCTGCTTGGCCGCTGTACAATGGACTACGTTGTAATATATCGGTATCACTGATTCTGCAATACTATTGTACTCTCGTTGAATATCGTATACGTTCGGTAAATATCGTGTCCAACGATATTTTAAAATTCTACTCTTACTAGCAAACAGCAGAGGTGGTCTCCCACCGTTTTTCTGAAACTAAAATATGAGCCAGCTGTAATCAATTATGTTTTAGCAGTAGTAATATCACTCAAGGTTACACTAAGGGAGTGTATAATGAACACTGGAATTTAATATTATATTAATTAAATAAATTATATATATATATAAGTACAGTAATAAATACAGTGTCTATTTCTGACAATTAAAAAAAGAAAAATTATTTTTGTCTATATAATTTCCTGTGTCTGTTATTCTGATTGTAAGCAATATAATTAAATACACAAAATTTCACAAAAAATTATGATATAAACATTAAAATAAAAATCTATTATTCTCTTAATATTTCTTGATTGTATTACAAAAACTGAACAATAGAAGTTCTATACAAATTTAAAATTAATCTTAACTTAAAGTTTTTATCTTTTTTAATACCAAATCAACTAATTAATTAAGGACACAACAGACGGGGACGTGGCATAATTGTCACAATTATAGATGTAATTTGACAGCCAATAACATAATTATAAAGACGTTTCAATACGAATCTGTTAAATATTTTGTTGAAAAAAAGGGTTATTAAAGTCAAATAAATCATAGAAAATTATTGTGAGAACGTTGTTTTTTTTTTATAATCATTATGTAAAACTTTAATTTGATACAGATTTTGGTTTGTCAGACGTTCTGGAAAATTTTCCAAAATGGAGTATTAAATAATATTTTTGTAAAATTGCGAACTTTTTTACTTTGATGGCCAATGTATCATAGAAAAAGAATAGTTGGACAATTTTATTTCTTTAAATATTGTAGTAAATTTTGAAAGCTTCAATTTTATTTATGTAAAATTAATAGGTTAAAAGTTGTCTAAAATATTTTCAAATATTGAGTTGACACTATTTTTTTTCCATACAAAGATGGTTACTTTTAAACCCTTTCTTTAATTACATTTTTTATTAGATATGCACAAAAATACAAAAATAATGTTTATTACAACTAGTATATTCTATTAATATTTTATTGGGTTCAGTGGTCTAAAAAAAAATTTAGCAGTTTTAAAATTCAGTTATTTTAGAACACAATTTTTTGTCGAAGTTAAATTTTTAATTCGTCTACTGTAGGATTAAATAATTAATACTACATTGATTCTTATTTATCAATTATAGGTCATTCACTATGATATCAAAATTCAATTTTTCTAATATTTAATATTTCTTTTCTGTTCATCAAATTTTTTTTGTTATGTTTAGTCCTTTTGTAGTGATGCCTGAAAGAATCACTGATTTGATAAGTAATATTAGAAGAGAACCATTCATTATTTTCTTTCTTCGCATATTAATTGTATTTTAAATTTAGAACTAAAGCAATTTAACAAATATTTAACTTACTGTAGGTAAGTAACTATCTCTTTATTTTTTACTGAAGATGCTCATGTTTACAATAAATATCAATAATGATTGTAAAGAGGAAGGTCTAAATCTTTTTTCCCTTCCTTTCATTTACTTTAACTATAACCTATATACTATATACTACTAAATGATGTAATTAATTATTTATTACGTAATAATGTATATTATACAACAGCTATAATATGTAATTTTTTTTTTCATTCATAGTAATACATGGTCTCAAATCATAATGAAATTGCCTGTTTCCTTTTATTTGATACCTTTATCCTAATTAATATTTTTTACAAGCTTTAAATAAAATCAATAACCACTACTTAGTTGGTAAAAATATATATTTAAATTTATTATTAAAATAGAAATTATTATAAATTAAAAGAATAATTACTGCAACTTCAAAATTCAATTGTGAATCTTTGTAAAATATATTTATTTAATAATCAATTTTATCAATATTATGTGACCTATTGGCTGTTTTATCTTTAAAAAATGCATTTACTAAATTAGGTTTAAATGTAACAACTAATGGACTTAGATTAAAAAAAACTATTACAATGTAGGTCATTATATTTATTCAAATTAAAATATTGAATTTTAAGTATAGACAACATAATTCTCAAACCAAACTATAATGAAAATATATGTTGTTAATATTAACGCCATTTTACCCAAAATTAAGACTTATAATTAGTAGCATGCACAATACTTTCTATGAGGGGGACTAAAGATTTTATTTTTACTAACTATTGATGCTACTTTACGCCAAATCATATTTCATTATAGAAATATTTATAATAATTACAGTAGGTATTTATCAAATTCATCTGTTAGTAATAATTCATTTAACTTTAATAACAAGAGGTAAAACTTCAATAGAAATTTGTCAATTTGTTAAATTGCTTTGGTTTTATGAGAAAATTTTTTTGTCGAAATAGTTATACTTTTTTTAAAATTTATTCCCAATTATCTATATTTTCTAAAATAATCGTTAGATATACATATTTATCTTATACTTCAAATCAAGTGTAGGCGCGTAAACCGGATAAATTATATAATAATAAAATAAAGTTTGTCTAGACAATCAATTCATAATGCAAAATGATTAAATAAATAACCATTCATTTTTTAACATATTTTATTAGAGTTAAAACGATTTTTGTTACTTTACATACTTCAAAAAATATTTTCCTTTATCTAATGTAATATATTTATTTCCAATTGATACCATTATAGAAAAATTAACTCATTTCGTGCTTACAATATAATTTTGAGAGGGTAGTAAATAATTTACTTTTAATTTAAAACAAATGTAGATCATCTCTACGATAAAATATGGAGCATACCGCTAATATGAATGCGTTTTCAAAAATAATTAAATGTGGAACAATCAACATTTATATTTTTTTGCAAATTTTATGTATACACAACAAAAATTCAAGTTTTATGAGATGGCACGTGATTTTATGGGCAATTCAATGCTTTTGATAAATAATCATAATATTTTGATATTAAATGTAGGTGACTTATCGGCGATTACATAAAACAAATAATTTTATTAGTAAACGTTACACAAGTGCAGTGCATGCTTAGATGTGTAATTGAAGTGCATTTAAAGCGCTACAATATAATAGCTTATAAGCCTGTTAAGGTAATAGTATATATCAAAATTATTTAGTAGAATTAATACAAAAATTTAAACTATTTTGCCACATTACTTGTTTGATGCATTTCAATTGTCAAAAATATATTTTTTTGGCTAATTACAGATATAAATACATGTACCAAATAAAATTTAAAAAAAAAAAATGTTTATTTTTCGTCATATAACTTTAATATATTATACTTTTAATATAAATTCAAAATCTAAGAGTAAAATTTATGTATGTAAATTTATTTATTCTGTTTTGTTGTGTACATAAAATAGACAATGAATTAGATTTCATATTGGAAATTCATACTATTAGTTTAAAGTTTAGTATTGAAACTAAAACTTCGTCTAGTGATTCTTTACAATAAAAATATTTTTAACCAAACAAAAAAAAATTGTTGTGGTGTACTTATCCACTTTATCCCTACTAAATTACATCTCTTGTAAATTTCACTACCTGATAAAATTTAACATTTCATTGAGAATAAATAGTTATCATTTTCTTAATTTTTTTTAATGATAAAATCAAAAAAGACGTATTTCATATAAATATACAAAAAAATATGTTTTACTAAATAATAATAGAATCATTTTTTTTTATTATTATTTTCTTAAGTATAAATTTTTTTAGTTGAATTTGTAGTTTATAAAATTGGTAATTTTTAAAATCGTTAGGTATTTATCACTAAATGAAAAGCAGATTTTACAAAAGTCAGCTATATTTCTACGCTATAGTAAATTACTTTATATAACATTGGAGAAAACAACTTAACCTTAAAAAGTGTTTTTGTTTACAAGCTTTTATAAGTTTAAAATTGAATACTAAGTGATAAGAAAGTTTTATTACAGTTTCCAAGTTAATAATAATTAATGTTTCATTCTGCGGCGCCTGATTGAAATTAAGTCTGAAGTACTTTAATTAAAAATTTTTTTTTGTTTGCCATGTACATAAAGTACTTTTGTAAAATTATCTGTGAATCAAAAGTATCAAGGTACTAAAACGAATTACGACACAAAAAATAATACTAAATAGAATAATTCGATTTCATCATATCCTAATTATATTACATATTTTAGTCATCAATAAGGACTACAATATTAAGTTAAGAACAAACAATACTAAATAAAAGATAAGTAAAATACTTTAAATAGTTCAGAATTTTTTTTTTACATAAATCACTATATACAATTGTTACCAGAGTTATTATATGAGTTATTTAACAAATAGAAAATTAAGTGCAATTTTTAATGACTGTACTTTATTAATATAATTGTGTGATACAGAAAGTATGCTCTCCATTGAAGTATTAAAACTTAAGTAAATAATGATTATATATAACTAGTATCAGCGGCAAGTATTACGGGGCCTTTGAGCTAGAAGGAACGGAATATCAAGAGAGATAGATTCTCCTAGTAAATATGATTATAGTTAAAATACAATTTTTCTTATGTTATCTCTAAAACAAAACCCAAACTATGACATTGCTATATTCGGGGCCCGAGAAACGTGCTCCATTATCCAACTTTCTTTGGACAATAAAATTATGTCATTTTACAAGATAATACTGACAGCATTTTTTTATTAATTAACTGTTCGTGATTCAAATTTAACATTTATAGGTAGTGTAGGGAGCAATTTAAATAGCTCCTCTTAATAGTGTAAACTTAAATCTTTTAGTAGTCACTTGGTCAACTATTTATGAATTCCATAATCATGAAACTTTTTTTTATATAAAATTACATTTTGGCGATTAATTACTCACAATAAATTTGACATCCTATCAATATTCCTATCATTTCCTATCAAAATTTTTTAATAATGTGTGTATACTAAG